GGCAGACCAGCCTTGCTCGGCTTCGGGTGGGTTGCTGGGCGGGGGGAGAATGGACTCTCGGGCTGAGCATCAGGAGCAGGGCCTGGGCTCAGGGATGCAACTGGGCACCCAGTCACACGCTCGTGTGGTTGAGTCTGAACTTGGCCAGCGCAGGAGTCCCGTCAGGACACCCCAACCCGGCAGCGTCCCCTTGGCCTCCCCCGGACAGGGTCCCCCACGGTGAACTCAGAGCCTCAAACCTAGATCCCCGAACCCTCGTTCCCTCACGGTCCTCGTTCACAGAAGCAATGCCGGGCAAGTCTCCGGGGTCCCAAGTTCAAGCTGCTGTGTCTGATGCCGGGAAGAGGCCGAGCTGCCTCTGCACCCCCTGCACCTCCCAGGCCGCCCTCAGCCCAGAGCACAGTAGGGCTCAGCACGCGCATGGCGGAGAAAGGAAGGGAAAGGGGGTAAAAGAGAGAAGCAGCGAGTGTCGGCAGGGGGCGGAGAGCAGGTGGGCCGGCACCCCAGGCCGACTCAGTCCCACTGGGTGTGTGTGTTTCAGTGGGGGAGAAGATGAAGCGACACCCCGTGCTGTGCCCCCCCAGATCGCCTGCTGGGGGGACAGCTGGAGCCCTTTCCTCCTGCCCACCCACTAGGTAAATGTGAGGAAAAGTAAAGACTTCATTATAGAGTCATCAGCGCGGATTCCAACTCCCTGCCGTCTCTCTGTGTGTTTAGTGCCCGACATTTAAACACGGAAAGGTCAGCGAAGAAGGAGGGGGCTCCGAGTGACCTAGTTCCTCCAGGCCAGGGCTTCAGAATGGGGAAATGGGGGAGGGCCCGAGCAGGGGGACAAACAGGTTTAGGGGCGGAGAGGCAAAGGCTGGGGTGAGCATCCGACTCTCCAAGGAAACCAGTCCCCCTTCACTCAGGCAAGGAGCCTGCATCTTCCTCCTTCCTTCCTTCCTCCCTTCCTCCCTTCCTTCCTTCCTTCCGCTGCGCTAACAAACCTCTCACCCGGCTCTGAGGTCTGCCAGCTCTTACCCTGTCCTGCACGGCGGCTCCCGAAGGAATGACAGCAGTCAGCAGTGGGGACGGTAGACAGAGGACAGAGAGGCGTGGGGCTGGGACCCTAGGGAGCAGATGGCACTCAGATTGTGGGGGGTGGGGCACTGGGAAGATGGGGTCAGCGGACAAGGGGACCAGCCAGGGTCCAGCAGAATGCCTCTGTCCTCAAGAGCTCACCCCTCTGGTCACTGTGCATAGACGCTGCCCGCCCGGGCGGCCGGACACCCGAGAGCCTGGGGAACCACCGCCGCCACCAACTTGCCAGCAGAGCCTCACCTCTGGGTCCCCTCACCTTTCCAAGTGGCTCTCGTCTCTGGACTGGCCCGGGTGGGGCACATCTGGACCAAACCAGGTACCGAGTAGACAGGTTTCGAGCCTCCGTCTCCCACACCAGAGGGCTCCAGGCCCCACAGACGCCTTCCCAAGGTCGCACCTGCTCTCCTGCCCCGAGGTCTCAGGAGGTGGGGACACGGGGACACGTTCGGGGAAGGATGTGCTTCTCAAGGGACCCCACCAGTCTCTGGCTGTCACGACGCATCCCTGGGCAACGAGACGCAATTTGGATTACGCACCTCACTTTGCTGCTCTGGTAAGAGAAGTACAACGGGCAAGTGGTTCCGCGGAAACATTACGGGCGGTCTCATTATTAGAAACTTTAGGCCCCAGACGTGGTGCTCTCCGGCTCCAGTCCTCACACACAGGACAGCAACGGAGAGGACGCGACCACAGGCCGCAGCAGGAAGATACGAGCCGTTCTGTGACTGCGGTAACCAAGACCCTTCTGCAGAAACGTGGGCAATTCTGCCTCTCTGCTCACACGTCTGACAGGTCAGGAGCCTGGCAAAAGCCCGACCCCTTCTGCAAACGTGCACACTCCTGGCGGGGTCCTCGGAATTCTCAGACCCCCCCCCCCAGTGCCATCTGCACCGGAAAACCTCGAAGCAGTGGCAAGTGCTGCTCAGTCTTTACAGTCTGGTATCAAAATCAACATCCTGTGTCACGGCATGGCGCTTGCCCAGAGGAGGGAAGTGAAGATGAGCATTTTGCCAGACAAAGTCAGCCTGTGGTCGCCACGAGCCCGGGAGACCAGAGACCTACGGTCTGGGGCCGCCACCGGCATCCGGGGTGAATTCCTGCTGGTGCTGGTGGCCTCAGCTGCAACCAGAGAGGATTGTCCTACGTGTGAACCTGGTCACGGGCTGCAAACTCGGGCAGCCCGATGCCTCCTACCGCCTTCTCTCCCTCAGCCCTCAATCTTCCAAGATGACCAGTACATTTAAGATCCTTTTGGGGGCAGAAAAGAAATCAATGGAGCGGCCGCAGTGGCATTTCCTGCATCTGTAGTGGAGTTTCTGCTCCGAACGAGCCCCCCCTGCCCCCACCTTACAAGTCAGGCCCTGTGCACGCCCATTCGGGCTATTCCTCCTCCCGATATTTTTTCTTTCCTTTTCCTTTTTTTTTTAAAGTAAGTGTCTGAAAATGAACCTAAGCCACAGACTAGAAACAGACAATCTTTAAAGTTTCCCTTCCCATTAGTGAGGAAGGAACCAAGTTCCCCCAGGGCCCCTGACCATAGCAATCCAGGTACCGGCGGCGCACGGAGCCTTCTGGGGAAATGGCACTTAGTCGATTGAGCTGCCACGTCGGCTGTGACCGATGTAAACCATTTAGGGCGCCGCTCACACACCCACGCAATTTCGCGTACACGCCTCCCAGAGAAATTTCCTTTCAACGGATTTTTGCTAAAGCTGAAGCTTAACTCGCACTGCCAAGCAATAAGCTTTGTATTTTATTAGGGAGATACTACAAAAGATATTTTAAATCTCCTGCTTACGGGTTTTTTAAAGGAGATGAGTCCCAGCGTGGGCCAGGATCTCGCAGCTGGGACTTCCAGCCCCTTCTCTGAGGGGTGTTTGGGGGGGTGTCTGCCACTGACTGCTCGGGCACTCGGGGTCCGCCACTCCCGGGGCGGTGAGGTCACAGTGGACATCGGTCGGTGTCCCCTTCATTCCAGTGATCCAGTGACACCCTCCTGAGGGGCCACGGATTTTGTGGCAGTGAAGTCTCAAGGCCGAGCCTCCTGGGGCCCAGAAGGCAGCTCTGGAACCAGAACCCTGGGCGCGCGGAGCCGCAGCGGCCACGTCAGGACAGACTCGGAGCTCTCAGCAGACCACCCCGAGGGGACAGCCTCGAAGGGGCCAGCGTGTCTGCCAGGAGACAAGCCCCTTGGAGGTCAGGACAGGGGTGGCCTTGGGAAGGGGCCGTGAGGGGGTGAGCTGACGGGAAAGGGGCTCGGCAGTGTCCTGGGGTGTCGGCTGCCCCGTGTCTGACGGGGTTCCTGCACCACCGCCGTCCGGTCACTGAAACTAGAGGTTCCGTCGGGGGACTTGGTATCTCGGTGTTTTCAGTGGCCCCCTGATGGGACATAAAGCTCGGGGGCCGCAGAGGGCGCCTGTGCTGCAGGAGCCCGGACTGCGGGGCGCACAGTGTGGGGACAAAGGGCACTTTCTGGGCTGACAACGCCCAGAGCGTCACCCCCTGGCCATCCTCGGCCCAGGCTGGTCTGGTGACCCCACGGTCCCAGGCGGGCTGGGCTTAGGCCTGCGGTGAGGAGCACAGGCTGACAGGTTCACGTCGGGATTCCCGGAAAGGCAATAGTCCTGCACTTGACCAACACCAGTCCCTGGGACACGTCCCCTAACCTTATGTGAATGCGGGCAGACGACCCGACCTCACGGTGCCTCCTTCAGCACATGTGCACGACGGTCACCTCTTAGAACAGTGTCCTGAGGGCGGGAGAGACTGCAGGTCGGCACCGCCCAGAATTCACACTGAAACCTCAGTCCCCACTGGGCGTCTGGGGGTGGGGCCTTTGGAGGGGGGATGAGAGGGCCTGGGAGGGCGCGCGAGCCCCTGGTGTGAGCTCTCTCCCCCTGCCCTGGGAGGCCACAGGTCTGCGGGCCGGGAGGGAGCGCTCCGCAGGCCCCGACGGCCGGCACCTGGACCTTGGTCCAGCGGCCGCCGGCGGGACTGTGAGAAGTCGTGCGTGTTGTGAAGGCCACCTGGCCTGTTGTAGCATCAGCCTGCTGCACGTGGCCTGAGGTGGCAGTTACACAAGGGGACAGAAACCCAAACCCAGTGTCAGCATGGAGATGGTGATGGTTTCATCAGCGGGGAGGCAGATTAGAAATGTTAAGAGCAGCCCTGGCTGATGTGGCCCAGTGGATTGAGTGCCGGCCTGAGACCCAAAGTGTCGTTGGTTTGATTCCCAGTCTGGGCTCATGCCTGGGTTGTAGGCCAGGTCCCCAGTAGGGGGCACTAGAGAGTCAACCACACATTGATGTTTCTCCCCCTCTCTTTCTCCCTCCCTTCCCCTTTTCCTAAAAATCAAATAAATAAAACCTTTTTAAAAAGTTAAAAAAAATGTTAAGAGCAGAAAGCCCCACTCGGGTGTCTAATTGTTTAATAATGCCTACAGCTAGTGCCCTCTGGCGCCAAAGGACACTGCAGAGTAGGGAATGTCCAACAAGGGGAGGACCCAGGACAGCGACTCACTCGGACTGGCTCCTGTGGGAGCTCCCACCTGCCCTTTCCCTTCCAGCCCTCCCACCTCGAGGCAGAACGAGGCATTCTACCTACTGGTGTGAGAATCACAAGCCTGTGCATAGTGTGGTGTCCCCACAAGTCACCTCCTGGTCCCGTGCGCCTCCCGGGACAGCACCTTGAGCTCCTGAGTAAAAGGGCTCGGCCCTGCAGAGCCCAGCACACCTGGCCGCCAGGTGAGCGTTCAGCCTGCCTTAGGCTGCCTGAGGCTCAAGCAGAAGCTCGGGAAGCTGGAGTGTGTACATTGCAGGGAGAGGAAAAGACACCACCACCCATCACAGCCCAGCAGGGGCGGTGGTGAGCACGGCGACCCCGCGGCCCCGCCCCCTGCGCCCGCGCGCGCAGCTCACCTTCATACAGCCAGTCGCTGAGGCCGTTGTAAATGACGCCCTCCTTGCCCGTGGAGACCACACGGATGGCCTGCTTCCCGACGTGGGCGCAGTAGTAGATGTTGTTTTCAAAGATGAATATCTGGTGTGGGAAGAGAAAACACACAGGGTTAACCGAGGAGGTGGCCATTCACGGGGCGTGCTTCCAAGTCCAAAACCAGCTGCGTGCGCCCTGCGTTTTCCTGGCGCGTGTATTTGATAGGACGGGGAGCCTGTGGGCTCACCCGAGGCAGACAGAACCCGCATCTCAGGCTCATCGGGGACTTGAACCCCACGTTGAACTCCACGTAGCTCACTCCACGTCATCGTCTACCAGGACTGGACGATTGTGAGTCCTTCCACATCACATGCATCGAGTATCTCAGCCATCCCATTTCCTCTTAGCAATTACGAGTGGTGGACTGGGAAATGGGGAGCCTGAGGTTCATTCGTTCAATATTCATTAAAATGTATTTAGAGGCCCCTGCTCTGTGCCCAGGGACAAAAGAGGGGAGACATGTCACACATTTTCATTCTACTTGCAAAAAGGACACACAAATAGGAGAATGCCCACCGCAGAAGCGGGTGGGGCTCCGGGAATGGGGTCTCCCTAGCTCAGGCCCAGGGGTTCCCTGAGACAGCAACGCAGAAAAGATGGTTTCATTGGCAAAAAGATGGTTGATGGCAAAACGTATCACCTGAACCATTTCTAAGTACACGGTCCACCTTGCCACGTGGCCACCACCACCACCGCTGTCTCCAGACCTTGGTCCCTGTCCCCAAATGCAACCCGAACCCATGACACTTTCACTCCCCCCTCCGCCTCCCCAGCTCCTGGTCACCGCCACTCTGCTCTCTGTCTCTACAAATGTCACGACGGCAGGGACCTCCTATAAGTGGAATCCCATCGCTCAGTCCTTCTGTGACGGGCTTCTCTTTTTTTTTTTTTAAAGATTTTTATTTATTTATCTTTAGAGGGGAAGGGAAGGAGAGAGGGAGAGAAACATCAATGTATGGTTGCCTTTCGTCCTCAACGGGAAGGGTATTGCTTCTCTCATGTCCTCAAGGTGCCGGAGTTCTGAGACAGTGATTTTAAGCTGGGAGCGGAATGAGGGGCAGGGCAGCGCGGGGGCTGGGAAAAACCGGGCCCTGAAGAAGGGAGATCTGGAGGGAAGGACAGAGGCAGGACTGCGCTAATGGGGGTGCGAAGGAGGGGCTGGAGCGGAAGGGAGCGAGTGCCCATCTCCAGCAGCAGCAGGGAGCCCTTGCCAGAGGCTTGGGAAGGGGCACCTGTGGGTGAGATGCTGGTCTGCAGGGGGAGGACCCGGCAGGTGTCTGTCCGGTCCTCAGAAGGCACAGCTGGACCCCCAGCCAGGACAGCGGGAAGGTCACCGCCCTTGGGAGCATGTGGTGCTTGTCTTCCTCTGACCCGTTTATCTCCCTCAGCATAATAGTCTCCAGGTCCGCCCATGCTGTCACAAAAGGTAAAAGGTCCCTTTTCATGGCTGCATAGTATTCCACCATGTAAATCACCACAGCCTTTTTTATCCACTCACCTACTGACGGGCACCTACTGATGGGCACAAGATGTGCTTCCAGATCTTGGTGACTGTAAACGACACTGCAGTGAACATGGTGGGGGGAGAGTATATTCTCTCAAAGGTTTTTCTCAAAGAAACCTTTCAGGTTTCTTCAGATAGATTCCCAGAAGTGGAATCGCTGGGTTGCAAAGCAGATCCATCTGTAATTTTCTGAGGCATCTCCACACTGCTTCCCACGGTGGCTGCGCCCGTCTGCATTCCCCCCACCAGTGCCTGAGGGCTCCCCTTTCTCCACATCCCGAGAGGGGGGATTTGCACAGCCCGGGAAGTGGTGGGGATATTGACAGTTCTTACTGAGGATGCCAAGTTCCCCCAGGTCACTCTGCTGGCAGGACAGGCCCGAAGGGGGCACAGGGGGTCCGGCGTCTGCTCAGGCCTCCCGAGGTGTAAAGTGTTCACCTCACCCTGAATGAGCTGGAAACCCTCCAGACCTGAGGATGGCTCCTAATTTAACTTCAGTAGCTGTTCTTAGGAGTTTGCCTAAGGGTAAGATGTATGACAAACTTTAACTTCTTTTATGTGCTCTAAGCCTGTAATAAATTTTTGAACCCAATGAGGCGGCAGCAATTAATCTAATGAGAAAGTAAAGCGCACTATGACAGATGTTAAGTCCTTCCGAACCTTGGCTTTCTTTCTAATGGAAGGAACTAGAAAGTGGAGCGCTGTAAGGACTGCGCTTGCTTTGAAGCTGTTTTAGATTCCCCTTCGATCTGGGTAGAAGATGCTGGAAGCTATTGTGTCTTGTGTTCACACAACACCAAGCCCTGGAGGGAAGAAGTCCCGGCGGGGCTGGGCCTTGGCGAGCTCCCGGACTGGGACGAGTCGCTGGGTTTTATCCACTGTTGTGAGCACAGCATCCGGTTCCTGCAGCAGCCTTCGCCTGCCCAGGTGTGGCAGGTGACGTCTGGGTGAGACCATGCACCAGCCCGTCCCTTGTCCCTCCAGCCTGGAATGTGTGGGCGGCGGCTCCTCCCCGGGCATGAACTTCTTTTTCTCTCGAGTTGGTCGGGGTGGCCGTGGTTAGTGAAGTCATGCAGGTGTCAGGTGTACCATTCCATAACGCGTCACCTGCATATTGTACTGTGTGTTCGCCGCCCCGAGTCACGTCTCCTTCCATCACCACTTGTCCCCTCTTGCCCCTTCCCTCTGGTCATCACCACACTGTTGTTGTCTGTGACCATGAGTTATGTTTCTCTGCTTAACCCCTTCACCTCATTCACCCGGCCCCCCGCCCCCGCCCTCTGACAGCTGTCCGTCTGTTCCCTGGCTCTGTGGGTCTGTTTCTATTTTGTTTCTCAGTTCATTTCGTTCACGAGATTCCACACTGGAGTGAAATCATGTGGAACTTGTCTTTCTCTGGCTGGTTTATTTCACTTTTTGTTGATTCACCAAGACCAACTCCATCTCTCATTTCCAGGTGTGGTGATTCTGTCTCACCTCCTTGCAATAGGAGGGCGTGGGCAGCACATGCTGAGGGCCATTTCAGTGCGCCCCCCACCCCGAGCCGCACGCCAGTGCCAGGTGGAGATTTCATGAACCGCAAGCCCAATGCCTCGGCACCATGCGGTGATGTCTACTTCGCCGTTTTCACAAAACACATCCCGTTTTCATTAGTCTGACTTTTCTACGAGCATTTTGACTAAATATGGTCATACAGTCATGGATGTAGTACATTCTGTGAAAGTGCAATTAATTGGAATTCTTTGGAGAAATGCGAACTTGCAGTTAAATAGATTTTTCTGGGTTAATTGTCTAATTAAAGAAAAGATCACTTTCAATTTCGGTCTTTATTCCGGAGCGACTCTCGTGGCGTATTCACCAGCATGGCGCGCACCACACGAACCGCTTGCTGGCTGAGGGCCCTGTACCGCCTCAGCTCATCCATGCGGACGCCTACTCTTCTTGCCCAGGATCATTGGTGTACTTGCAGAAAAGGGGGTCGGGGGACACCCACACCATTCCGCACGGCCGTCTTCCTTGATGTTTTGTTTGTTCATTAGTATCACTCCCTTCCCTTAAGTGGGATGGAGAAGAACTGTACCTATATTAGGTAGCTGGGGTGGGACTGACGGAGGCTTTCTTCGACTCTTCTGGGAATCTGAAAAGCTAGTACAAGTTCAACTAACTCGGTAGGAATCAATGTCTGTGGCCCCCTGACCTGCATGTGTGTGAATTGCAGCTCATTTACGCTCTCAGTATTTCTAGGACTGGTTCAAAGCAGATGACAGAACACGCAGCCCTGTGCTCACAGGTGGCCACAATGAGGCTCCGAGAGCCACAGCTGGCAGAGCCAGACCCCCTCTTCTCAGGAACCAGAGAGGGGACAATGACCATCGTAGGGGACAACTCTGCTTCTTGTTCTGGAAAATCAAGGCCAAAAGGGAAGCCCATGGGGGAGCTCGGCGTCCTCGCACCCAAATGTCTCATGAATATTTAGATCAGGAAATGACCTTCTGCGAATTAATTAGTGGTGCTGTTAACACATTTGTCTTCAAAGAAGAACTGTGGGTCCTGAAGCAGAAAGGGAGCATCCACCATGGACCCAACGTGTGGCCATCGAGGAGAAAACAGATGCTTCTGTTACCACGCTGTCCTGGGTCTCTGACGTTTCCTGAGCTTGAAGACGCAGCTGGGTGGCAGGGACCATTTCCTATCAATTTTCCCTCTTTTTCTGCTTCTTCTGTGGAATGACCCACGTACTGACCAGGCACGATTGGACTAACACTTTGTAGCAGGCAGGAATAGAAGATCTTGTTACATACTGCACACAGTTTAATCGAAAGGGCGGAATCCAGAATGTCTGGGAGGATGACGGCGGAGCCTGTCTGTGACCAGAGGTCCCTCGGTGGTCAGAAGAAGCCTTGTATTCCTCAGGCAAGCTGGAGCACGGTTGTTCTAGGCCATTCTAATCCTACAGGAAAGACTACCTGGGGGGTCCAAACTCTGGGTGTCTCTGGGCCACACCGGAAGAAAAATTGTCTTCAGCTACATATTCAATACATTGCGACATGTAATCCCCAAACAATCTCATAATGTTTTAAGTGAATTTACGATCTTGTGTTGGGCCGCATTCCCAGCCATCCTGAGAGGCATGCGGCCTGTGGGCCGCAGGTTGGACGCGTCTGGTACACCGCACGGACTGAATGTCTGCAGAACACGGAAATTCTGCCGCTAAATTTTGCAACCTGGTCAACGTATCTTTTAGGAGTCAGGTGAAGAAGCAACGTGCCGACGGATGACAACAGTGGGAATCCTGAGTCTCACTGGAGTGAAGTTGCCGCAGAGTAACTATGGAAAGAGATACATTCTCACACCAAGGAGAGGACGCAGAGAAAAGCGTCCAGGGTGGGAAAGACCAAGGGGTGGCCTGAGATCACGCACGCAGTTTGGCTGGCTCTGAGTCGGGGACAGGATGGCAGGAGGCCCCTTGCTCTGACCCTGTGCCATTGCCATCACTATGGAGTAACAATGGAAAAAGTAAAAATGCCACCACCTGCTCTGG